GATAAAAAGAGATGGCAGATAGAAATATGAGAACACGTTCAACATTAAGCATTCAGGAAATGTGAATTAACACTACCAGAAGCTAGCACTACACACACATTGAGACAGCTAAAATAAATACCAAATCCTGGTGAGGATGCAAAGGAACTGGATCTCTCAGATACTGCTAGAGGAAATGTAAAATGGTACAGACACTGAAGAAAAATGTTTGGCAATTACTTACAAAACTAAACAGAACTATTTACAAAAGACTACATATTGTATGATTCCATGTACATGGGATTTTGTTATGTGCAGAGTAACCAAATACATACCGACAAAGTAGATTAGTGGTTGCCTAGGGCTAAGTGTGGATGGGGAGATAGGGATGCACACTAATAAGGTATGGCAAAAAAAAAAAAAAGCAAAACTCTTGGGAGTTTTGAAAATGTTCTAAAATGTGATTATAGTGATGGTTGCACAACTCTGAATATACTAAAAGTCACTGAATTATACACTTTATTTTTTTATCTTTTTTTTTTTTTGACACAGGTTCTCGTTCTGTTACTCAGGCTGGAGTACAGTGGTATGATCTTGACTCACTGTATCCTATGTCTCCGGACTTAAGCGATCCTCCCACCTCAGCCTCCCATGTAGCTGGGTCTACAGGCACATGCCATCACACTCAGCTAATTTTTAAAAAACATTTTTTAGAGACAAGGTCTCACTGTATTGCCCAGGCTGGCCTCAAACTCCTAGGCCCAAGTGATCCTCCTGCCCCAGCCTCCCACATTCCACCTGAATTGTACACTTTAAATAGATGAATTGTATGGTATATGAATTAGATCTCAATAAGGATGTTCTAAAATTTGCACATTTCACTTCAATAGGCATTTCAAAAACAAACTACATGATTGCAAAGAGAACCCTGACTTCTCTGGCCACAGTAAACCGCATAGTACAGGGATTCAGTTCTTCATTTGATAAAACTCTCTTAATTTATCATCATGAAATAAATTTTTTGATGTCCTCAAAATAAACACACTCTAACCATAAAATCCAACATCATACTCTTGAGCATTTATCCAGAGAAATGAAAATGAATATTCCTATACATTATACAGGAATGTTCACAACAGCTCTATTTGTAATTGCTTAAAATTGGAAACAGCCCAAATGTTTTAGGGGGTGAATGGTTAAGTAAAGTGTGGCCATACTATGGATTACTACTCAGCAATAAAAAGAAATGAATTATTGATACACAGAACATCCTGGGTAAATTTTAAACCATGCTGAGTGAAAAATGACAATCTCAAGTTGTGTAATGTATGATTCCATTTATCTAAAATTCTTGAAGTGACAAAATTATTGAAATGGAGAACAGATTCATGCTCTCCAGGGGTTAGGAATGGAGGGTGAGGTGGGAGAGGATGGGAATGACTTTAAAAAGGTAGTACAACTCATCTCTGTGGTGCTGGTATATTCTGTCTCTTATCCAAGGAAGTGTTTTCATGAATCTACAGTGATAGCATTATATAGAACTATACACATGTGCATACATGTGCAAATAAATGTGTGTAAAACTGTTGAACTAAATGAGCTCAGTGGATTGTACTGTTCATTTCCTGGTTTGACATTGTACTGTAGTTATATAAGTTGTTACCATTGTGGAAAAATAGGTGGAAGGATACATGGGATGGACCTCCATTATTTTTGCAACTTCCTGTGAATCTGTGATTATTTCAGAGTAGAAAGCTTAGGAATGAGAATTGGTGTAGAAAGTAGAAATATTTATGTCCAAATTATCAGATTCCTTGCCAAAAGATTATGCCAATTTAAATTGTTATCTAAATTAGATAGTATACCAATATCACTACATTCTCATCAGCATTAAGTATGTAAATTATTTCGATGTATTTGTTTTGTCTGAATTTTTAAATTTTTATTTTTTAGAATATGTATATTTTTAAAAAATGTTTTATTTTTATTTTAAATTTTAGATTCAGGGCATACATGTGCAGGTTTTTCACATGGGTATATTGGGTGATGCTGGAGTTTGGGTTTCTAGTGAACCCATCACCCAATATTGAACATAGTATCTGATAGGTAGTTTTTTCAATCCTTCCCCTACTCTTTCCTGCTCCTCTTTTGGAGTCCCTGGTATCTATTATTTCTGTCTTTATGTCCACCTGTACCCATTGTTTAGCTCCCATCTACAAGTGAGAGCATGTGGTATTTGGTTTTCTGTTTCTCTTTTATTTCACGAAGGATAATAGCCTCTAGCTGCATCCATGTTGCTGCAAAGGACATGATTTCACTCTTTTTTATGGCTGTGTACTAATCCATGGTGTATATGTACCACATTTTCTTTATCCAGCCCATCTTTGATAGGACACTTACGTTGATTCCATGGCTTTACTATTGTGAATAGTCCTGCAATAAACAGACTAGTACAGGGGTCTTTTTGTTTTCCATAGGATTAACTAATTTACATTCATACCAGCAGTGTATAAGCATTCCCTTTTCTCATATCCTTGCCCACATCTGTTATTTTTTGACTTTTTTTATTTTTGAGACAGAGTCTTGCTCTGTCGCCCAGGCTAGAGAGCAATGGCACAATATCAGCTCACTGCAAGCTCCACCTCCCGGGTTCACGCCATTCTTTTGCCTCAGCCTCCCGAGTAGCTGGGACTACAGGCGCCCGCCACCAGCCTGACTAATTTTTTTGTATTTTTAGTAGAGACGGATTTCACCGTGTTAGCTAGGATGGTTTCGATCTCCTGATCTTGTGATCTGCCCGCCTGGGCCTCCCAAAGTGCTGGGATTACAGGTCTGAGCCATCGTGCCCGGCCTATTTATTGACTTTTTAATAATAGCCATTCCGACTGGTGTGAGATGGCATCTCATTGTGATTTTAATTTGCACTTCTCTGATAATTAGTGATGCTGAGCATTTTTTCATGTTTCTTGGCACTTGTGTGCCTTATTTTGATCGTGTACTCTGCCCACTTTTTAATGGGATTCTTTTTTTCTTGTTGATTTAATTTTCTTATAGATTCTGTATATTAGTCTTTTGTTGGATGCATAGTTTGCAAATATTTTTTCTGATTCTGTAGGTTGTCTATTTACTTTGTCGATTGTTGTGTTTGCTGTGCAGAGCTTTACCATTGGTCAATTTTTTATTTTGTTGCAATTACTTTTGAGGTCTCAGTCATAAATTATTTGCCTAAGCCAATGTCCAAAAGAGTTTTTCTTATATTTTCTCCTAGAGTTTTTATAGTTTGAGGTATTACATTTCAGTCTTTAATACGTCTTGAGTTAATTTTTGTATCTGGTAAGAGGTAGGCGTCCAGTTTTACTCTTCTGCAAATGGCTAGCTAGTTTTCTCAGCACCATTTATTGGATAGAATATCCTTTCCCCATTATTTATTTTTGTTGACTTGGTTGAAGACCAGTTGATTGTATGTGTGTGGCTTTATTTCTGGGTTTTCTATTGTATTCCCTTATGTATCTTTTTTTTTTTTTTTTAACCTGTACCATGCTGTTTTGGTTATTATAACCTTGTAGTATAGTTTGAAGTCAAGTAATGGGATGCTTCTGGCTTTCTTCTTTTTGCTTAGAATTGCTTTGGCTATTCATTCTCTTTGGTTCCATATGAATTTTAGAATTTTTTTTTTAATTCTGTGAAAAATAATGTTTGTAATTTGTTAGGAATTGTATCAGATCTGTATATTGCTTTGGGCAGTATGATCTACTCTTATGTTGACCATCTGTTTCTCATACTGAGGATATATAAGCTAGCCAAAATACGATACATGATTTATATGCCATAATTTGTTTGATGTATATATCAATAAAACTATTCAGAAGAAATTGGCTTTATATGTTTTAGGGAGACATAAGACATCAATCAGTACATGTAAGGTATATAATGGTTTGGTCCAGAAAGGCAGGACAACTGAAAGTGAAGGGCTTCCTGGTCATAGGTAGAGTCAAAATTTTTTTTGATTGGCAGTTGGTTGAAAGAGTTAAGTTATTATCTTGGAATCAATGGAAAGGAGTGTCTGGATTAAGATAAGGGGTTCTGGAGACCAAGGTTCTTATTATTCTGTAGATGAAGCCTGCAGGCAGCAGGCTTCAGCGAGAAGCGATGCTAAATGCCTCTATCAGACTGAAAAAGGTGCCAGACTCTTAATCTCTCCTGGGTCCAGAGAAGACCTGGAAAGAGAAGGGGCTTCTCTATAGTATGTAGGTTTTCTCCACAGGAGACAACTTTTCAGGGCCATTTCAAAATATGTCAAAAGGTCGGGTACAGTGGCTCACACCTATAATCCCAGCACTTTGGGAGGCTGAGGCATGCAGATCACGAGGTCAGCAGATCAAGACCATCCTGGCTAACATGGTGAAATCCCATCTCTACTAAAAATACAAAAAAGTAGCCGGACGTGGTGGCGGGCGCCTGTAGTTCCAGCTACTGGGGAGGCTGAGGCAGGAGAATGGCGTGAACCCGGGAGGCGGAGCTTACAGTGAGCCAAGATTGGGCCACTGCACTCCAGCCTGGGCGACAGAGCGAGACTCTGTCTAAAAAAAAAAAAAAAAAAATCAGAAAATATATTTGGGGATATTGGGGATAAACTACTTCAACTTCTTTTGGGGCCTGTTATCTGTTGTGTGTGCTATACTAGAGTCAGATTGGAATTTGATATCTTATTGTTACAAAGAGTCTGTTTTGTCACTCTTTAGATCTCTGTTTTAATGTTAATACTGGTCAGTTGTGTCTGAATTCCAAAGGAAGGAGAGTATAATGAGATATGTCCTTCCACCGTGGCCTGGTTTTTCAGGTTTACTTGGCCTCAGAAGAAGGATTTATTCAGTTGGTTGGGGGGCTTAGAATTTCATTTTTGGTTTACTTGTATAAAATTCACTTCAGTTTGGATCCTTGCTGTTAACAAAATTTTTAAAAAATCATTTCTGAATGGGAAGGGGAAACAAAATCTGCACAGAACATTTATTTCTTGATCTGCAGGTTATAAACAACTTGTGAAATGAGTGATTTGGAAGATGACGAGACACCCCAGCTTTCTGCCTACGCCTTAGCAGCTCTCCAGGAATTTTATGCTGAGCAAAAACAACAAATTGACCTAGACGAGGATGATAAATATAACATTGGAATAATAGAAGAGAATTGGGTAAGTAAATGGCATTTCGCAGCCATCAGGAAGTATTGATGTGAAACCTACTCTGTGCATTAGTCCAGTGTTTTTCTCACCTAAAACCGGAATCTCTGTCACCTGTCATTTGGGATCTGAACCTCTCTATGGGGAGCTAAGACAGAAAGCAGTTAGTGAACATTTTAGAACAGTGTAACAGCTTTCTTGAACAGCTGTTCTTGATTCTGACTATCAGGCTGGTTGGTGATCAGAAGATGGGGTTTTTCAGATAAGGAGATAATGATACAGGATTTTTCTGCTTGGTCACTTTGCAAGGTGGGGACCCTCAGCTGGCAATACCCCACCCAGGCCTTGCTTGGCCATGCTGGTGTGCCCCAGCTTGGCTGTGTTATAGCTCGTACCCACATTCAGCGGTTCCCAAGCTCTTGTACTACGTCCAAGAAGAATGAGGATATGAGGGACACTGGAGAGTGAAGAGGGTGGGGAAGAATTTTAATGAGTGATGAAAACTGCTTTCAGCAGAGATGGGACACAGGGTTGGGGATGGTTATGCCGTGTGGTTGGGTCTGGGGCCTTTATGGACTCAGAATGGGGACTGTGTGCTGATTGGTTTGTGAGTATGCAAAAAAGGTGAAGGTGAAGGCACCACTCAAAGGTGGGCACAACAGTGTAGAAAAAACAAGTAGGAAAGCGTAAGTATATGTAAAATAGGTAAAGGGTGGAGAACAATCAGAAGAAAGTGTGCAAACGGGAAGACAAGTTCTCAGTCTGGTCCAAGGATTTAACTTGTAGCTTGGCTTTCAGGCTTTAAACTGTCTTTGTCTTGGAGGTAGGGTTTACTGGGGACCCACCCCATCTGCCTAGGCATTTGTCTGCCTCTGTCAATAATACCTTATTATGTCCAACACAAACTTCTTCCAACACATTTTTGGATACAGATACACCTACTGGTTTTTATGGACCCCAGAAATCCTGGTGGAAAGAGAAAATATTATCATTGCTGGAAATTGGGGAATTAAATATGTATTGAAAAATTGATGAGAAGGAAATTTAAAGAAGATATGAACAGTTTCTGGTGTATAATATGTATTTCAATTATATTTTTATCATCTGAATTACAATAGGGATTAGAAAAAAATGAGTTGAAGGAAACTCCTAACATGACCAGGAACCTATAATTTTTTTTTTTTTAAGGAAATAGTTGAGAAACAGACAAGGCTTGAAGTTTGTCTGTGACTACCCCTTGATAATAAGTATATCTTCAACACTTTGCAACTGGAAGGAAGCTTCTGTATGCTTATCATTTTTTTATAGTCTTTTACATTTTTGTGTCCTGTTTGGATCTCTAAGTTAAATAAACTTTTCCTATTTACCCTGTTTGAAACTGTGATAAACATGTTTCTTTCCATTTATTCTACATGTTCCACTTATTCTAAAACCTCTTTCTCACTGCTTCTCTTCTTTATGTCTGTTTACCTTCTAGCTTGATGCTTCTATAAATAACAAATATAAGAAATTTGAAGTACTGCATTATTCTTGAGGTGGTCTTTTTCTTTTTTCCTTCTTCTTAATTTTTAAAATACTATGTACTTTTTTTCTAGTTATGAAAACTAGTGCTAATCCCACTGCTTAGAATTAACACCTTTTCTAATTTTGAAACTTTGGTTTGATTATAAAGTTGAGGAAATGTAGAAAGCATAAAAATTGACAGACAAAATTTAACCATGATGTCTGACTAGAGGTATTGGGTACTTGCCTCCTTCACAAATAAGAACCAAAATAGTGAGCCAGTAATCTCACTTCAAATAGATTACCTTAGAGAGAATGCTGGAATTCAACAGGGAAGTGACAGGAAACACCTAAGGTGAGGAAGGAGAGGAAGCGAGGCAGCCTGCTTGACAGGGATCAATTAGGAGCCTAGAGCAGCTCCCCAGTGTGGGGAAAGGCTAAGTGAGTGACTTCTAGCAGTTTATATTCCCACCATGGATTCTGCAGTTCTAGCCACAGAAGAGCCCTTTTGACCCATACAGGCCCTGAGACAAACATAGGGAACTGCCTGGAGACCATGTGATAGCATTGCTCCAGTAAGGGAGCACATGCCAAGTCCCACACAAGGCACCATTTTGAGAGCCCAGCTCCCACAAGACTGCATCCTGCCATGACACCCAACAGCCCCTGCATCTCCACATCTCTGGAGCCCCATTGACTTCCCCCAGACTCAGCTGGGGCTGCTGTGGTCTGCTGCCACCAGGCCTGAAGTATGAGCCATTGGCAGCAAGCAACCCCACTGCCTCTAGTAGCAGGACCACTGCACAATTAAAAGTACCCTTAGGAAAGGCTACCCTGCTTATAGCCATGACTAGGGCCAAAGTGTGCACTTCCCAACCTCCTGTTCATGGCTGCTGCCACTAAAAGCCACACCACCCTCCCTAAGAACAGCACAGCTACTGCTGTTCCCACCAGGAATCCTGAGTAAAGGCCTGCTTAGCCTGGTTCCATCTTCCCCTACATGATGTAAGGGACACCATAAGTGGCCAATTTTTTTTTTAATTTTGTTTTTTTCTGAGGCGGAGTACCACTCTGTTGCCCAGGCTGGAGTGCAGTGGTGCAATCTCGGCTCACTGCAACCTCTGCCTCCCGGGTTCAAGTAATTACTATGCCTACAGGCATGAGCCACTACACCTGGCTAATTTTTTTGTATTTTTGGTGGAGACTGGGTTTTACCACGTTGGCCAGGCTGTTCTTGAAATGATCTGCCTGCCTTGGCCTCCCAAAGTGCTGGGATTACAGGCAGGAGCTACCGCGCCTGGCTTTTTAAATATTTTCAGTGTCCCAGAAGGCAAAGAGAAGACAAAAGGGATAGAAAACTTATTTCGGCCGGGCGCGGTGGCTCACGCCTGTAATCCCAGCGCTTTGGGAGGCCGAGGCGGGCAGATCACAAGGTCAGGAGATCGAGACCACGGTGAAACCCCATCTCTACTAAAAACACAAAAAATTAGCCGGGCACGGTGGCGGGTGCCTGTAGTCCCAGCTACTCAGGAGGCTGAGGCAGGAGAATGGCGTGAACCCGAGAAGCGGAGCTTGCGGTGAGCCAAGATCGTACCACTGCACTCCAACCTGGGTGACAGAGAGAGACTCCGTCTCAAAAAAAAAAAAAAAAAAAAAAAAGAAAACTTATTTTATGGAATAATAGCTGAAAACTTCCCAAGTCTAGCAGGAGATTTACACATCCAGATATAGGAAGCTTAGAGATTCCCAAACAGATTAAATTCAAAAAAGTCGTCTTTGTGGCACATTATGGTCAAACTGTCAGAAATCAAAAGTCAAAGAGAGAATTCTAAAAATAGCAAGACAAAAGTGACTAGTCACTTATAAGGGAAACCTCATCAGACTAACAGCATATTCTCAGCAGAAATCTTACATTCCAGGAGAGAATGGGGTGATATATTCAAAGTATTGAAAGAAAAAAAAAACTGTCAGCAAAAGATTCTATACCCAGCAAAATTATTCTTCATAAATGAAAGAGAAATCAAGACTCCTTTGAGACAAGTAAAAGCTGAGGAAATTCATCACTTCTAGACCAGCCCTACAAGAAATACTTAAAGGAGTCCTACGCATCCTTTAGCATAAGCAAAAGGATGAAATCTACCATCATGGAAATACACTAACGTATAAAATCCACTGCTAAAGCAAATATAGAAAACCACCAAACCTTAATGATAAACAATAAAAGAGAAAGAAAGAAACAAAGAATATACAAGACAACCAGAAATAAATTAATAAAATGATAGGAATAAGCCCTCACATATCAACAACCTTGAATGTAAATGGATTACACTTTCCTCTTAGAAGATAGAGACTGCCTGAACAGATTTAAAGAAAAAAAACTTGATCCACCTCTATGCTGCCTACAAGAAACTCATCTCACCTGTAAAGACATACAGACTGAAAGTAAAGGGATGGAAAAAAAGATATTCCATGCACAAGGAAACCAAAAAACCAAAAACAAGCAGGACTAGCTGTGCTTATATCAGATAAAGCAGATTTTAAGTCAGAAACAGTACAAAGAAACAAGGTTGTTATATAATTATAAAGCGATCAATTCAGCTACACAATGATTCTAAACATATATGGACCCAACACTGGAGCACCTGATATATAAAGCAGATCTTATTACATCTAAAAGGAGAGATAGACACAAACACAGTAATAGCTGGATACTCCAACATTAGATAGATCATCTACATAGAAAATTTAGACCAATGGACTTAAGAGACGTTTGCAGAACATGGCATCTAGCAGCTAAAGAATATGCATTCTCATCATCACATGGAACATTCTGCAGTTCCATGTGGTTATGTTTGGACAGAAAACAAGTCTCAAGTATTTTTGAAAAATTGAAATGTCAGATATCTTCTCAGGTCATAACAGAATAAAACTAGAAATCAGTAACAGGAGAAACTTTGGAAACTAAAAATACAGGGAATTTAAATATGCTCCTGAATGATCATTAGGTCAGGGATGAAATTAAAGAGGAAGTCAAAAAATTTCTTGAAACAATGGAAAATCAAAGCACAACATACCAAAATCTATGGAATACAACAAAAATAGTGCTAAGAGTGAAGTTTATAGCAATGTAAGTCTACATCTAGAAAGTAGGAAGGTTTCAAATAAATAATCTAACAGTGCACCTTAAGAAACTAGAAAAGCAAGAACCAGTCCCAAAATGAGTAGAAGGAAAGAAATTATAAAGAGCAGACAGAACTAAACAAAATGCAGAATAAAAAAAAAAAAATCAATGGATCAATGAAAAGTTGGCTTTTTGAAAACATAGGCAAAACTAAAACTACTAGCTAGACTAACCAAGAAAAAAGACAAAAGACAAAAATAAATAAAATCAGAAATAAAGGAGACAATACAACTGAAGTCCAGGACCAGATGACTTTACCGCTGAATTCTACCAAACTTAAAAAGAATAGTCAATACCAATTATCTTTAAATTATTCCAGAAGTTTGAA